TCTTAACGTTAGGTGGTTAAAGAAAGTAGTAGTTCAGAAAAAAATGCAGTATTTACACTTGTCGTATTTATAAATATTATTTTACATTCAGTTTATACCCCAGTGCCTGTGTCCATAATCATGTCAAGCTGAACATTAAAACAATTTATACGTCATTTTTTAAAATTGACGTCACAATGGTTTCGCCGATCTATTTGGCCTGTTCGGAAAATGTATATGGACATGGACATGAATATTTTGAGGTATTATAGTGAAAATTAGAGGCTAACTTTCTAAGATAGAAGACAACTTGGCAAAATATCACAATAGATTTAACAATGCGCCTCTCAGTGTAAAATATGTGAAATGTAGATAGTTCCGAACATAATCTAGATGGTCATAAATCAATGACTTCAGTTACCTTTTTGGAAGAGTTCCATAAAAATTACCCGTAAAGCCATATACATCACATAAATCACGTTAAATAAAGGTTAGGTGTAATGTAAAATAATAGTAATGTAAAAAAGAAGTAAACAATTAGCTTGAGGGGGGGGGGGGTGTTATAAAATACGACATGAGTGATGATATCGGATGAAAGGGGGTCAGGTCCAATTGCTTCTCTTATATTCTTAACATTACTATATATAGATTGACAGACCTATGGAAACTGTATATAGCATGAAAACATAATGTAGCAGTAATTATAACGAATGGCAGAGGATAAAAGAATGTTTTCTTTTGATTGTCAAGAATCACATAGTTTACTTGTGCTCCTTCTGTATTAATATCCAAAAAAGTCTTGCCTTTTTGCGCGCACATGCAAAACTGAAATTCTGATTTGTTTACTAAAACAAATATTAATCTTTGCTAAGAAATGATAAGTATATATCCACAGATCTCTGTGGATAAGTGAAATATTCTCGAACTGTAATGCAGTGATCGTAGAAAATATAGCTGATTTTATTCTTGTTAATTGTTTCAACTGAATGGTAAATTTGAAATAAAATATAAATAGGGTGTCATAGAACATAGAAAATGATTAATGAATGCACATACAATGTATAAGCATCGGGTTTATTGTGAAATGGATTCCTCGGTGCTGGATTTTGTAGAAAATGTCGTTCTCATACATGTAGCTTATTGAAATAATGACTTCCTGGATATCAATATCAACAATCTAGTACGTATTCAAAGGCGGGTCCAGCCCCCCTCCCCCCCCCTCTCATTCGAGTTTTTTTGTTTTTGTTTTTGTTTTGGTTGTTGTTTTTGTTTGTTTGTTTGAGTGCATTTTCTTTGTTTAACCTGTTTATACTCTCAATTTATCCATACGTAAAGTTCAGGCACGTAGTTTCAGTGCTGATTCCGATTCGAAAAATGTTTCATGTCGAAAAAAAAAAATGTGAACCTGCCCCCTACATGGATAAATGGTAAAGTTTTACTTGAAATTTCATTACCACGATGAACATGATACTTTATCCACGTCAACCTTTTTTTTTTCCTTTTTTATTTTTTGTCATCTTGAAAATATACAGTTAATTATCAATAATTATTTACTAAGTAATTACTAATTACTTATGCTTTAATTTCTACGCCTACTATACGTGATATAGGAACTATAAATATTTCATGTAATCAAAGTTCTCTTTGAATAGCCCCCCCCCCCCACCCCCACCCCCCCCCACCCCGAACATGTAAAAAGTATCAACTGTACTGCCTGCTTCCTTTCCACCGAATTACAAAATAAAATTAATATTGGTTTCTGTTTGTTATGAACAAAGGGCCATCTATTTTCAAGAGTTCAGATTCACAATATTAAATTGACGTATTCTTAATATTATATTAGTATACAGTTAAAGTATAATAATCATTGACGGAGTTAGCAAGTTCCAGTTCCCCAAGGCCAGGACTATTTCCCTCGGCTTCACCTCGGGAAATAGTCCTGGTCGAAATGATATACTTTTAGTCCTGGTCCAGATGATATACCTTTAACTGTTTTTCATACCGATACAAACGTAAAATGTAGAGGATTCAGATAGCCTGATTTCAAAGCAGGGATTAGCTCACTGAACTAACACATGGACATTAATCCATTCACATATCATACCAATGTAAAAGTAAAATCTAGAGGATTACGGATAAGCGTGAATTAACTTTCGAAGCAAGGATTAGCTTCCTTGACTAACACACGGGGATTAGTCCATTCTTAACGATTTCTAGGGAATTAGTCACATCTAACGATATAATGTTATATAGGGAAAAAATCAGTAGAGGTATAATAAACCAAGATAAAGTAATTGAATACAGTATTTTCATATTGATTACCAATTTAAGTAAACAACAGTGATTTCTGTTCACTAACACTCGATTGTCTTTGAACAATTTTCCTGGGGAAATAAGGCAGGCACTTTATCCTGGAAATGAACTAGATTAGCTTATAATGTACACCTTAATATGATAAAATGTTCTCAGAGTCTAAATAATGTTTTCCCTTGGTGTTTAGAGCTTCCTTAAAACACACGCTTGCATAGGTTGTCGTTACAAATGTATATCGATTACTTAGAGGAAGCAGTAAGGGATCTGCAGGGGGGGGGGGGGGTATCCGGACCCCACCCCGATCAATACCCACCACTTGTATAAAATTCATATAGCAAAATACCAAAAATATGGAGGGGGAAGGGTCAAGTAAACTTTGTAAAGTTGGTAAGACTTGTAGGAAGGTAAAGTGACATCCCCCCTTTCAAAATAGGTTTTTCAGGTTTAGGTTAGTTATCTTTTTTTAAAATAAGGTTTTTTCCTTTGGGTCGATCTAGCTGTTTTTTGGTTTGTTTTTTTTAGTTGGTGTGGAACACCTTTTCCTGGGAAAAATTACAGGAAAATTCCTCAATTGCGCTGTTAAATTTTTCCGCGAGTCCACATTGCTTTTCCCCGAAAAATCCTTCTTTACCGTGAAGTACTAGTTTTTTTTTTCTTTTCCGCGAAAATCTTCTATTAACCAGGTAGTACATTTTGCTCCTTGTCTACCACGGGGATGAATTTTTGTAAAAGTCTCTAAAACATCCTTAATAGACCTAGTAGATTGTAGGTCATCTACGCAATAACCTATACATCTTCACAATGTCAAGGTTTTGTGAAATCGTTCCTATTTAAAAAGGTAGTGAAGAGAAACAATATCACAAAACCTTGACAATGTGAAGATGTTAATACGTATAAAATGTCGTTGAAACATGCTGTCTGTTCAATAACCCATAGATCCTAATATATTCATGTGTCGGAACAAGCTGCAATTTTGAAGAGAAAAAGGTTAATTAATTGCTGATAACTTCGACGTTGGAATATTTCCGAACTGCATGCTGAAAGAAAAGAATAAACGAAGGTTCACATCCTTTCCTTTTTTAAGGATGGGCTCTACCTCTGGACAGCGCAAATAAAATATTATAATAGGTAGACACAGGTAAACTTATGTAAATCAAACCACAGAAAAGCAGTGTCAAGTAGGGAGCGGAAACTGTTTTTTTTTTTTTTTAAATATAATGCAGATAAGCAGGAAGACCGAAATCTTGCGAGCCTTACTGATACATGTATATTATTACACACAAAATCATTTCCTTGAATACATGCAATCAAAATCCAAGAAAAAGTTTAACGGTCCTTTAAGTCTTTTTTTTTTTACAAATCTTGGCAATTACGGATCGTCAAGTTAAAAAAATAAAACTAATACTTTGCTTGTGCCAATGCGGGGCTCGGAAAGTCAGAAATCCGCTTAAAATGTACTGTACATGTACACCCCTTTTTTCCTTATGATTCAAAATCTTTCAAAGCCAACCATACCGATTGATTTAAAGATTTGTCTTTAATTATGAAAAATAGTTTAGTAAGCATGGAACTAGTATGTTATCACATGTATACCAATACACCGAAATGTACGTTTATATGAAAATGAGATTTAATACACGTACATAGTAAAATATACATGTAAGCTGGATTTATTTTAAAACATGACGTCTCATTTTTGTTCATGACGTCGCAAAAAGCAACGTCAAAATATCACAATGTTATCGTGAACTATGCTACTTTTACGTTTATATAAAACATAAATAAAGCTTTGTACATGCATATATTGATAATTTCATGAAAATATACACTCTCTCAAAGAGTTTTAAGGAATATTATTTAATTTTGACACGGGGCCAAATTTTGTACCAAACGCACCTTGTCCTTTGGAGACAGGGCCGCTCTGTTATACGTAACGTACCCAGTTCTTTAACTCCCAAAAAAACGACTTATGTAAACTTCAGACAATCTTTCCTTTCATATATGATGTTTAATCTGGGTCATGGTACACTTTTGGGCCACCAGCAACGCAATATACATCTCTCCCGGGGGTACTGTCAAACACATTTCATTCAGTATCCTCACATGAGCCTTGGAAGTTCGTATGATATCAGTAAGTGATCTAAACGCCGAGCGTAACCGTGCATCTACATGCATACATACATGTACATCTACATGTATGGATAAGAAAGGACAGGTGATTTCAGTATACTAAACACTCCATGGGGTTCCACCCAAATACAACTTTTTGGTGGACGGTATAATACATTTTTTCAAATATGTAGCTAGAACACAATTTTAATATTTTACTGCCATGCAGTTACCACTTGTCATTTGAGATATCTTCTTTAATTGAATATGAAACATAACTCATCTTTGGGTTATCAGCAGCAATATACTCCGAGGGTTCCGTGGTTAAAGACCAAATTAAACGAATTTAAGAATTTCACTACCAAGTGACCTTGACCTCATATTAAATTGATACCAATTCAGGATGAACACAACGCTCTATCTTACAAGGAATGGTTTAATTTCAGTGAACTGTTCAAAATCTATGGCTTGGGCATTATATAGACAGACAGATATATATGCATCCAGGCAGAAATTATAACATTAACTGACAGAAGGCGGGAAAGCAAATGCTACATGTATATTCACACTGTAAGACAGGAGTAAAAAGATATAGTTACCTTGACTTGCAATGACAGTATTTACGGGACATTTTGGCAATTGCTCCCTTTTGAGTTCCTGGGCAATTTTGCTACATTGAGCATTATACTGTGACACAATGTTTATTTTATCTGGTGGTACCAGTTCCCGTTTCACCATATGTTTGAACACTTTCACCTGGGAAAAAAATTCAAAATACTTTACAAAGAAAATATGAGACTTCACGGTTTAAAAAATATAGAAAACGGGGAAAATATTCCATATATACATGCATATTAGTGTTGTCAACGAGTACAAAATTGACCAGTGAACCATCCAACGATGCGAGTAGCGGTTAATAAAACTGCTACTCGGTTACTCGGATATCTAGATGTTTAATTAACAAAGTAAATGAATTAAAAATGTTTACTTATTTTTTTTTAAATATAAACTACCATATGTCACAAATTTTATTTACCGTTAATCTTGGCTTTGCGTTAAAAAAAAGATCGATTTGTTTTGATTGGTTTTTTACAGTTTATCTAATTATTTTGACTGCCAAGAGTTTTTACAAGTTTTGAAGACCCGAGTTGATATCATATTTTTAACCTCTACTAGTCAGCAGTATAAGCAGGATAAATATGCCACCCTTAACTTCAAAAGTATGGAAATATTTAATAAGAAATAACGGTTTTAAATCGTAGTTTAATTAATGTGAAAAAATAATAAATTCTCAAAACAATAAACCATTATACCGTGAATTCTGTTGAGGAAAAAAGCTGTCCCATTCAAATTTACAAATTTAATTAGAAGAGATTGCAAATAAGATATTTATTGATTTATCAGTTTATTTACTTATTTATTTATCCTTTTATTTATTATTTTACTTAAGTATTTATTAATTTTTTATTTATTTATTAATTTTTATCTATCTATTTAATTATATACCTACCACTATAAAATAATATCCAAAAATGGATATAGAAAGTGTAGAGTTTACGTATTTTACAGATGATATTCAATTTTTACCTCAAGCAAATACGTTAAGAGTTTACGTATTTTACAGATAATACTCAATATTTACCTTAAGCAAATATGATAAGATGCAAAAAGTAAAACCTTCCGAGTAACCGGGTACTCGATCGGAAATGAAAGCGAGTAACCAGTTAGAGAAAGAAATTGTCCGATTGAACAATACTTATAGGTACTAAATGACTTATTTTGAAAATTCATCATTACAAGCCAATTTAGACTTACCACTTGTGCAACCTCCATCATATTAAACCGTGACATTTCTTTCCCTTCTTCGGTGGTAAACGATAAATATTCCTCAATGCCTTCTAAATGGCAGAACACCATGGGGTATTTTGGATTGCGCCACATTGTCAAATTGTCGTCTTTCCAATTTGCTGGATTTTTAGTTTCAAGTTTGTTTTTGTAGAACAACCGCGAAGGAAGACTGCATAAATTGGGATGCTTGAACGAAAAATCAAAGGTACGTAAACGTGTATGAGCTAGTGGATATGGAATATTAAATTATTACGATATCTTAACACATATATATATATATATATATATATATCAATATTATGAAGACAATTAAGGAATGCTACATGAAATGTGCATATCTAAAATCTAGTTTGATCGATTACAATAATTTTGTTTGTTAAAAATCACATCTTATTAGAAATTAAATGGAAATTGTATTCACCATTCTGTATTGTTGACTGAGAAAAGTGAGTGTTTTCAGTTTAGGATTGGCATATCTTTCAAACAAGGATTTCTGCAGGCCGAGGTCTGCGGCTTCTTTAGACATGATTATAGGTTGAAGTTGTTTATGATCCCCTATCAAAACAACTTGTTTTGCACCTGTTGCAATAATTGCTGCCATGCATTCTGGTTCTGTGCACATTCCAGCTTCGTCTATTAATAACTGGTAAATAGATCCTTTTATTACACCAAGGAGCCGGGCACTAGTTGCTACTGAGGTAGTACATAGAATAACATCATATTGCGGAATTTCCTCGTTGATCGCATTCCTCAGACAATCTTGATACTCAGCAATATCTTTATGTTCAAATTTGTTAGATTTGAATTTTTTGTCAAATGATTTTAGTCTGTCTTCATAAGGTTTTCTAGGTTTTCTTACGACGTGATGCAATGTCATACTGGCTATTTCTTTATCTGGTGCTTGTTCCAATTCCTTTGATGTGAAAACTTTTCCGGGGATCGGAAAGTCTTGACATTCCATAGCTGTTGAGTACATTCTCAGTACTTTTAGGAAGCCTCCGCACATTTTTGCTAGATAACCTGTTGAAATATTTCATTGATTTCTTGTAGTTTATTTCCATATGACTTGCTATGATATAGACTTTACAAGAACATACATCCCCATTTTTCTTGTGTTAATTTTCTTTGTACATAAATCTGTGGCTAACTGGCCTGAAAAAATGGGATGGACAACCAGAGAGCTATAATACCAACAGACAAGAAAAAAATATTCAAAAAATCAGAAAAAGGTCTCGATTTTTTTCTCCGTTTTAAAAGGTATATATCTTTATATGGATTCGAATCCCACTGCGGGACGTGGAGACCGGTCCTTCGGGTGAGACCGCATGAACCGAAGTCCACTGTCGCAGAAAAAGATCCCTCACTGCTCAATGGCCCTGAGTGCCGAGTATAAGTTTGCAGTACTCCACCGGCAAGTGGCGGCGTTCGATATGTGTGAAATATTTTCAAAAGGGACGTTAAACAAACAATATCTTTATGATTAACATGATCTTGTTTTTCAGGAGGAGTTTTTCGCCAAACAATTACTGTAATTACATGTATGAATTATTTAAATTTTGCTCCCCGATTTTTGCCCTAACCTTACATACACATGTAGTGTCGGTGATTAAAAAACTTCAAGCCAAAGAACTTGGAAATAATTGTATATGCATAATATGATTGTAGTTTGGCCAAGGTTAAAAGTTGTTTTTTTTTTTATTAAATTTAAAACATTTATTGTAGTACCTTAAGTTCCCCATGGGCCATGATTTAAACCAGTAATTATGAATCTGCACTACACTACTTGCATATTTTGAAATATTTATAATCATATTCCCTAAAAAGATTTTTTAAGATGTTAATAAAAAAACTTGTATCTACATCACCTTAGAATACTACCATATTAATATGGTATTTAGAGTCCGTTCGTCCTTAAAAAGGTTAAAAGTTTTTGGGGTTTTTATTTAAAACATTTATTGTAGCACCACAAGTTCACCATGGGCCATGATTTAAACCAGTAATTATGAATCTGCACTACACTATTTGCATATTTTGAAATATTTATAATCATATTTCCTAAAAAGATTTTTTAAGATGTTAATAAAAAAAAACTTGAATTTACATCACCTTAGAATACTACCACATTAATTTGGTTTTTAAAGTCCGTTCGTCCTTTAGAGATTTTTAAACAAAATATTCCCACATACAATTTTAATTACCTACCCCATTCTATAGGTTATATTGGCCTAGTTTTTTAGGAGAAAAATGCGAAAATACAAGTATGAAAATTTGACAGAAGGATTAACAGACACAAAGCTGAAAGGCGACAGAGATCAGAAAAGCAAATACAAACCTTTAGTTCAGGAGAGTTTCAAACAGCATGTGCTTTATCTACTATATCTTTAGAATATATTGCATTTTTTATTTTATGTTACTGATGATATGCATTTTCATTGAACAAATACCTTAATGGCCTGCATGAAAATAATAAGGTAGGTTTTATTGCACTCTGGATAAAAAAAAAGAAATTCAAATGGTTCGAAAGTTTGAACTTGAGGGTCAGCATGGTAACCCTTTTCGATAATAATGCTACAATGTACAGTTTCCTCAAAATCATAAGAATTTTATTTTATCCTTATGACACAAGCCAATCAGTTATTTACAAAATAATACAGCTGCTCAAATAAAATCCTTATGAAAATTTGAAAGCAGTTTTATATAAAATTATTTGGAAACCATGAATAATACGTGTCTGATTCTTATCCAATACCAGTAACGACATCCACAGATTTGTTGGAGGGTCCACAAAACACAACATAGTTCTTCTTTGCTCCCTTATCTTGTAATGTGTTATTTATCTTGCAGAACAGCTGTAGTAAAGTCACTCCTGTGAATGTTTTCCCTGTTCCTAATAATCATGAAAAAATTTAATTACTAGTATTGTTTTGGTTGTTAAATATCATAACAATCCGAGTACATACGTACAATGATATTTTATTCTTTAAAACACTATGCAAACAATGTTTAAATAATCACCTGGAGGACCTTGTATCAACGAAAAACTTGATGTCAATGCGTTCTTTATGGCTGTTTCTTGATCTTTGTTGTGAGTGATACTATATGAAACCCCACATCTATGTAAGCTACCAATATCTCCTTCGCTTTTGTGAGCAATATCTGCAGGTAAATTAATATGTGCAATATGTGAAACCGCTGAACCAATTTCAACCAAGTTTGGCATTTATGGGATATATGAAGATAACGAACAGTATTCAGGCTCAAAAGTCTATCAAACAATACAAAATAGGAGCAGAGCAAACATGGACCTCCAAACATCAGAGGTGGGATCAGGTGCCATGGAGGAGTGAGCATCCCCTGCCGACCGGTCATATCCGCCCTGTGCTCCTTGTCATGATCGGGAAATAACGGGAAAATCCGTCGACAATTCAGTGTGTAAATAATGGCCTAACAATTAGTGTGAAAAACGTCAGTCAGCATTTGTCTCAGTGATAAATTGTATTTGCTGACAAGGTCATTGTATCGACCATAGAACTTACGAAATGATGGCTTTAAAGGAGACTGCTGATATTATTGTTTCAGCAACTTGTTTGTCAATAATTTACCTCGTTTTAGAAATTGTACATACGTAGAGCATGCTCTTGCGTATCAAATCAACTGAGAGATATATACCCCGTATGCAGGTGATGAAGGTATATTGCTGCATAAGTAAGGGAAGTTGACGATTGAAAAGTTAAAGTCATCACGCTTATCATAAAGCTTGGTTGTTAGATTACCATTAATGTCTTTTTCAAGTAAAATATCCAAATATGAAACAGATGTGTCAGACTCTGTGGTATCTTTTATCTCAAGCTCACAAGGATATATCGTATCGACATAAGAATGGAAATAGCCATTGTTAATTGACAATACGTCGTCGATATATCTAAATGTCGAGTTGAAGGCCACAGCAAGTGTTTTCTTCTTTTCACGTACAAGATTTTGGATAAATTCTGCTTCATATGAATACAAAAAAGGGCTGCTAATAATGGGGCGCAATTGGTACCCAAGGGAATTCCAATAGATTGTTGGAAGACCTGGTCTCCAAAAACCACATAGATATAGTCAACCAGAAACTCAAGCATCTTTTTAATGTCAACTTCAGAGTACTTGTGTGTACAATCAGAATGTTTTTTAACAAAATAATTTTGCAAATGACCAGTGACAAGGTAAGTAAATTTACGAGTTCCATTTTTATTGAAAAAGCAGCCGTCAATGATATCAAAAAGCCTGGACTTTAATTTATCGTGGGGAATGGTTGTGTATAAAGTTGAAAAGTCGCAAGTTTTTAAGCTGTTGATTTTGGTAAAATCTTGTGATTTCAAATTTTCCAAAAGTTCCTTGGAATTTTTAAGTATCCACATCTGATTTACACCACTTCTCGAATATATTGTTGCAAAGTACTCTTGAAGTTTCTCCTTCACTACTGTTAATATCTTAGTGAGGAGTAAAGAAAGAGGTTTGGTTGAACATTTACTGGAACCCGCTATGTATCTTTGTTTGTAAGGGTTTTTATGAAGTTTTGGAATCCAATATAAATATGGTAATTCAAATTCATTTTGGTTGTTTGGAATATTAAAATTATTCAAAACTGACATATGATTTTGAAGAATTTCTTCCTTAGAAAGGGAACTATGAGTATAAGTTGGATTACCACTTGTAGAATTAAATCCAAGTTCCTCTAAGATACATTTACTATAATGCGCCTTACAAACAAAGACAATGTTGTTACCTGCTTTGTCAGCATGGGTGAAGGGAAACAAAAATTATGAATTTCATGGTCTCTGTCCCCCTGGGGCCTAAGGGGTGGGGCTTAAACCACCAAAAATAATGCAGTCTTTAAAAATCTTCTTCTTTACTCCTGGACATCAAGCAATCAAACTGTTGGCATGATTGTAATATTAATAAGCATTAAGCCCTCTACGAAAATTGTGAAATTCATGGCCCCAGGGTCAGGGTTGATGCTAGGGTGGGTTATATAGATCATATAGTGAAAGTGCATTATTTCTTTGAAAATCCTCTTCTCTACTCCTGGATACGAAACAAATCAAAAACTAAGTGCATAGTTATGATGAGCATGGTTATCACTTCAGAAATTGTGTATTTCATTGCCCCTAGGTCAGTGGTTCTGGTGTTAGGGTGGGGCTCTATTGATTATATAGTGAGATGCATTAATTCGTAGAAAATCTTCTCTGCTCCTGGGTATTAAATAAACTAAGTACATGTACATACCAGTAGTTATGATGAGAAAGGCTGCCTCCTCAGAAATTGTGAATTTCATGTCCCTTGGGTCAGAGGTTCTGGTGTTATGGCGGGATTCTATTGATTACTGGTATATAGTAAAATGCTTTACAGTGTATCTTTGAAATCATCAAATACCATCTATCACTAAGCCAAAAGCTGACTGACTAATTTCATACTAATTGTTAGGCCATTTTTTAAACACAGAAATTTCTACAGGATTTTTCCGTTATTTCCCGATCATAACAAGAAGCACACTGCAGGTGTGACCGGGGATGCTCAGTCCTCCATTGCAACTGATCCCACCTCTGATGTTTCAGAGTTCCATGCTTGCTTTGCTCCTGATTTGTATTGTTTGAGTAGACTTTTGATCTTGAATACTGATCGTTATCTCTATATATGGGTGAATTAAAAAAAAAAGACCAAACCCATATTTTTTAACCTGCACTAAAAGTACAGGCAATTTGAATAAATTTCTATGTCTCAGCATATGTCTTTAGATAGTGTCTAAATACCTGCCAAATATCTTATTGATATCTCAATTTACTAAAAAGTTATGCCCAAAAATGATGTTAAAAATGTCAGGAGTGCAACACCTTTTTGTGACATTTCGAAAATTCAATATATTTTGAAGATCTATTGAAGTATTGAGTTTTAAATGTAGACTGTAGCAACTTTTGTTTGACTAAGTTGTGGTCATGGCTGATGTTGAAAAAAAGTTATACCATGTCAGAAGTGCAACAGAAAAAAATGTGGTGTTGCCAAAAAAATTTATTTTCAAAATCTGAAAGACAAATTCTTTTCTGACTTAATAATGATATATTTGAATAATTTAGTACTAAATAATTGATAGTTTTATTATTAAAATTCTTCTTTTTTTTCAATTTTATCAATTCGGATGTTTTTATCTTTTCGTTGATTTTTTTAAGAATGTGAAAAATAAACACACTGAAAAATTATTATAAAGTTCAAAAAATTCCATCTTAACTTCACTGAAACAACAGAACAAGTTCTGATATGATTTTCGCTTCACGATTCTACTTTAAAGACTCCCATGCTCTTGGTCAGGAGTGCAACAAATATGTTAGAATTATTATTGATCAAATATGAATCAATAAAAAGAAAAAAAAGTGATGTGTAGAATGTTTCTGGTTGACCTCAGTTGCTTATAGTGTTTGTCCTGTGAAGGAAAATATACTATAAAATAATTTTTATCTTCTAAATATATATTTTAGCTTGTTTTTTGTCATAAATAGGGAATAATTCAAGATATAAAGCCAAGTTTAATTACATCAATGTGTTTTCATTATGAAGTATTGAACTATAAATATTGCACAATTTCGTTATCACTTGATGATGCCAACACTTTCTGAATTTTTGTGTTCTGTAGTTTTAATTTTACTGCAGTTCAGGAGTGCAACAAAACTGTTCTATAATTATCAATGATCTCCATCTGTCTTTACTAAAAAATAATTTGAAAAGAAACGCTTGATACTACATATATGTATTTGATGTTCAAAACATTATATCTATCAACTAATTACAGTCATACATTTACAGTCAATTCAGAGAATAGATTTCATCAATTAACACATACTTTTAAATACAGTGTATATATATTACATATTGCAAATAACAATGTTTTGAAGTCTTGAAAATATGAAAAACTTGCCGTAAATGATAAAAATATCAAAACGACAAACTGATTCACAAACTAAGAATGGGTTATTGTGTGTTATAATTTTTAAAACAATGTTGAATAAAATTAGATATCAGAGGTCAGGAATGCAACACAATAATGTCACTTTAAAATCTAGAATTTTTTGTCAGAAAACTTGTATGTCAAAATTCCCTTTTAGGTTAAATCTAAAGAACAGACTTAAATGTACAAAAAATGACTTGGGGGAATTTTATTGATAAACTTGACTAAGAGCGTCCTTTGGGCAAAGAGGATTCAAAATTATTCAAATAAAAAGCCACACCCTCATTCAAGAAGAGATAAGTAAGAGCTAGTGAAAAATTAAATTTTAAAAACCTTCTCAAGAACCACTCAGCCAAAAAGACGAAATTTATGTATACTCTTTTACATAGTGTAGATTCAAGTTAGTTCAAATCAAGATCACTGGTGTACATGTAGATTGGGACCACAATGGGCAATCAAATTTTAACATAGAAATATAAAAGAAAAATTTACTTCTTGAGAATAACAAAGTTTGTTCAAATTGTAACCACCAGGGGTAGGTTGGGGCCATAATAAGATATCAAAGTTTTTCATAAAGGTATATATAAAAAGTGTAGAATACATTCCTTTCATCGAGTAAAATTATTTTTTATACATTAAAGAAATTACACGTAAAATCTGATAAATTATGAAATGAGTTCTGTTACAGTGAAAAAGCTGTCATAAGTAAGATAAAAACTATTCCTCCTCATTTCTAGAAACATTTTAAAGACAAACAATTGTTAGCCATTGAATGGTAAGAAGAGAACCAGAGAACCTAATATTTCTAGTTCAATTTAGTCATTTGTCATGACATTTTAGATCTGTTAACTGTTAATCACTTTTTATTCACGAAAACTTTATATTCGCGCAATTATGGGAGACCACCTGCTCTCATAAACACCAAATGACAATCCTGTGAAAGTAAGTTTAGGGAATATTTGGTGATTTACAGCTTCAGTGATTTATGCAAAAACAACTAACAACTGATGTTTTGGATAAGGCATGCAAATTTAAGACAATCAAAAATAATCATAAAATTACCTAATTCAGGCGTAGGATTTCTCAAGGCTATAGACTTCGCCAATTGTGACGCGCTCTCTAACCATTTTACATACAGTTCTGTTCTCCTAAAAAGATAAAATGCTTAGAATATAAATTGAGTATGCATGTGTGTTTTTATCCCCCATCTTTCAATAAAATTGTCAACTACATTATAATCCCTTCCCTTCAGGGTTTGTGCGTTTAGGTTGTCATATACTTTGTGATTTTCAAGACACTAGTTCCCATGAGAGGAAAACTTCTGTTGATTTCTTATAGTTGTTCCTTATTATATGATTATTAATGTTTGAATTTATAATATATTGTATAATGTATGGCTGGAACCCTATTATGGTCTGCATTCATATACGCAGTAGTCCGACTTATCTGGCGGCAATAAAGTGCTTCAGATAAGATAAAAACTCAGTTTTACTTTACACTACAACTCCATTATTAGTAGGGAAAGAAGTCCCGAAGAATTGACGCTATATATGGAGTATGCATCTGCAACCGAGTTAAATTTGAGCCTTTGGCTCAGATGAGCTAAAATATGAAAAATGCAAAAATAATTAAAATTTAAATTCAAAATGGATCTCAATAAAATTTTGATAGAAATTTGCAAGAAAAAAATCAATTGCAAAATAAAAAAATATATAATTTTAAATTAAAAAAATCACCTGCTTGCTCCAGACTTCGGGAGAATTTCCACATTGCATTCTATTTTTTTGTCAAGAATTTCTGGTGGGATGTTTTTACACTTGCTGTGAAACAAAAAGTTGACTTTTAGCATCTCCGATTTCTTGCTCTTAAAGACATCATGGCATTTGGCATGAGCTATCCAGTAACTGCTTGATGAACAAATTGCACCTTTACCAAAGTTTGTCATATTCCCGTTTTCAAATGGCAATGGACACCGGACACACAAAAAATCTGAGCCGGACATGTAAAATCTCTCTTTTTCGACTTTTTTCTTTTTCCCTTCATAGCTCGATAGCATATCTGTTGGGTATGTGTAGAAGAATATGTCTCTCTTTTTAAGATACGAGGATTTTAATTTGAATGATCCTCCATGTGGTTTAAATGTAACTGGAAGGTCGCTTATAATAATAGGATCTCCATCAACTGTTTGAGTAGAAACTTCCATTGAAAGAATAGGTATCCATGTCTCAATATATTTTTTACACGATTCATATTTTTCTTTTGTGTGTCTTTCTGCATGGACCGCAAAGTTGCTTATAGGGTCCCTTATGTGTTGCATACAAATTTTTACATTTTTGGTGATGTCGAGTAATTGCAGCACTGGAAGCATAATTCCGCGAATAGGTTCTGCAGACAACTGTATACGAAGCATTTGACCGTAGTTTATAGAAAAACTGTATTTGCAAATCTGATTTTTTAGATATCCGCCTACCACTTCTGAGCAAACATCATTTACAGTGTCTGTACACTCTGGTACCTGGTATGTATGTATTTTTCTTTCATTGAATAATGGCATAAAGTTTGTTCGTTCATTCATCAGAACGCTCTTTAACAAGTTCATCCATTTTCTGGTGGACTGAAATTCTATCATTTGATGAGGATTGAGTCTCAAATAAGCATTTTCTTTCGGTGGATTTCTAGTTTTCATACTCAGTGAATATATTCTGCTATGCCATTTAATCGTCATTATGTTTCTATCATATTGAGTGTCTTTATGAAACATCGGACTCTTGTGGAAATGCAAATGCTTCAGAGGTAATCTTTTAATGGACTGAGGTAATGACTTCAACAAGGGAAAGAATAAATCAACCTCATTTTCTGAGACATTTTGCACGAAAGCTTTGAATAGAATTGCTTTCTTATAGAGTGACTGTCCGACCAAAAGTGAATATCGCTTACTTCTATAACACTGCCGTCGATCATGCACTTCATTCATTTCAGCACAAATTGTTTCTATTTCTTCTCTTGAATACGGAGGAGCTTCACTGTTAAGAATGGCGTGTAAAAGTCTCTGTACTACAAGATCAATGAACCCACTCATTGGTGAAGTAGATGTCGTATAAATAGGTAGACGCAATCCAAAGTGTGTTGTATCAGTCTTTCCAAATGGACATATAAACTCTTCCTTTTCTTGGATTTTCATCCATTCATCCAAAGCAACGGCTTGACGAGGATGTATCTCATCAGCTCCAAAAAGATTTTCAAAATCTTCGTAATCTTTGGATTCCAGTAGTTTTCTGAAGGATTGCCAAACACAATTTTGGACTGGAATGCACGATGTTTTCTTTATCTTTCCAAAATCATACTTTAGCAGAGAAGTCGTTTGTTGATTATTCAGCCTGCAGTCTTGAAGATAAAGGAGTAAATATTCTGTGAAATCCTCGTGTCCTTTCCTCCATTTTTCAATCAAATATTTTCCCGGAGGACTTTGTTTAAGACATGGTGTGCAGTCTTGGTAAAACCCGTTTACATGACTTGCAATTTCATAGTTGGCTTGTATAAGTAACTCTTCAATCAAGTGGAAGCCACCTTCGTCTTTTGTGATACTGCTTCCTTTACATTGAAATAATTCTTCGATGTCGGTATAAAACACGGAGTTTCCTAGTCTCTGACGTTTGAGCTTTTGAGACACTTTTTTCAAAATATTAATATCTTCAACATGCCTTGTTTTGCTTTTACCATTTTCTAAGTCATACAATTCAGAGACTCTGTATTCCATTACAGATTTAACAACATTTTTCTGAAAGCTTACTTGGTGTTTCTTTTCGTTACCAATTCCATCTTTGTCATCAAGACTTATTTCAAAATACACTGTCAATGCACGCCTCAGTTCGCCCAAATCAAAGCTGAACATTTCCTTTGATAAGTTTTCTGGTATCAACGATGTTCTACAGCCATTTAACTCATATACCATTCCTCTTTTTCGCGCCTCCTTATCAAGGGCATCATTTTTCTTTATTTCACTTGCTAAGTCGGCAATGTGCACCCCGATTTTGTATGTACCTGCGTCAAGTCTGTGAACACTAAAGGCATGTTCAAGTATATTGTCTTCGTCCCCACAAATTGTAAACACAGGGAAAGCATTATCAGGTTCTATGTCTTGGATTCCCTTACGCAATAAAAATGTTGAAGCCTCTTCTACATCATCGTCATATGGCCAGGAATTGAATATTGGAGACGAAGAATGTCTATTGCAGACTCTGTGTTACCTTCAGTGTTCATTACCTGCAAAACAACACCCAACGGATACATACCCTTCCAACTCATAATTGCAACGAGGAAACAGTATGCCTTTCTATGACAAATAGGATATGGCTCTTGATATTCAACGACGTGTCTCTTTTCATCGTACTTATACAAGTCAATACTTGATTTGTTTTTTGAATTTTCGTGGGAAATGTTTATTTTAGGAACTGTCTTACAGAGTGGCTGCACAGTAAAATCTGCATAATCATCCATTGCGCATATTAAGACAGGATGATGTATATTATTGTACCGTTTTCTTTTCAACATTCCCAGAACTCTTCCATAAACTGTGGTATCTATACCTTCTGCTGCTGTTCTAGAATAGGAGTACGAAGAGTTGCCTATTCTTATTGATTCTCCTAGAATCTCAACAACAACTAAATCTTCTGTGAAGGAGTGCCCACATTTTGATCTGCCTGAAATAACTACCTCTTTAATTGGGTCATTAAGATCAACATTCTTACAAATAGCCTTGTGTGCTGATTCGATATATATATAACATTTTTTGTATTTTTCCTTGTTCCGTTCGCACATTTTAAGTTTTTCTTGACTGAGCTCGTCTGGATACGTAAAACGTTTTTTACTTACTGCTTCAAATTGTGCTTCACAGTTAGGAGAAATTTTTAAACCACTGATTACTAAATCTACTGTTTTTCTAAATTTTTCTGACGTCAAACTATGTTCCATCAAGGATTCAACATCAGATGTGTCGACAGTGTCAAATCCACTGTCTGTATTTGTGTCCGCTTCCGATTTGAAATATTCCTTTTCTTGGTAGGTAATGGGTCTTGATCTTTGAGTGTAAGTATCATCTGGGGATTCCTGTCCTGAATCAGAATCTTCATTGTTATCCTCTTTCCAATCGATAACGTTATAATCTTCAGTCTCATCCGTAACATCATATTTCTTTTTTCCCTTCTTTGATACCCTCTTCATTTTGTCAAAAGGATCATCCTCAAATGTTTTTAATTTCGTTGAATTAGTAACCGCTTCCCTTTCTAAGGACTGGTGTCCTTTTGGATAATTTTCTGAAAAGAAGTAGTTTTCATTTATCTTAAAATTGAAGGATTTATTTTAATTTTTTTAAAGTAAGCATGAGATACAAATGATATCACCTTGTTTATGGAGTTGACGTTTCCTAACAAATTCGTTTCTCTTTTCTATCTGCATTTCTTTCATCTAAATATAAAGATAAAGGAAATTTAAGAAGGATAATTCGTTTTTTGAATTTGATACGGCTTTTATGGCTTTTCCAAACGCAATATGAAATATTTTAAGCACTTTTAACAATAAGCCGATACAGATTGTAAAGTACGGTGAAATAATATGAATTCAGAGATATTGTATCAAAGCAAAATACATGTTTAAATCAACTCTTAGAAAGTTTGCTAAACGTTTTCTGTGTTTGCACTTTATAGCTTAGACAAGTCCTTCAATCCGTATCAAAATATCTAACGCAAGAGTTATTCTCAGCTATTTTTTATATAGATGAAGGACTAAACATACTCTAATCGATGGTTAAAAATTAATATGGTTGGTATAATTAATGCAAGAGTTTCCTTAACCTTTTCAATCATATTTTAAATCAGTATCATGGCCAATCTAAATAGAATTAGATGTTCCGAATCCGCTACCTCTTCTCAAACATCTAACAACATCCCATTAGGGGTTACGTCAGAGCGACCTTTCGATTACCCAATGAAATCGCCGTCGCCGAAATCTTGGTTTATAGTTCGGATGCGTTTCTTTTTTTACTGCCAAACTTAAACGCCCGAGGGGTTTTGTAGTAAACAAAATATGCATGGTAAAGACCGTGCTATATATGAATGTGACGTGCGGGATATATAGTAGTAGGTTGTGCATTTTCGTTTGCGTTATTCAGGTAAGAATGCCAGACTGGTGGACTATACGTTCAATTTATACCAAAATTACTTTAATTCAATGTAAGACAGTCTACTGAGCATCAATAATGTAAAGATGGAGCCGTGAAAGTAATTTTAGAATTGTATACAGAAGGTTGAATCTGATTGGCCAAAATTTTTATGTTTATTCATAATCGAAAGGTCGCTCTGACGTGACCCCTAATGGGATGTTGTTAGATGTTTGAGAAGAGGTAGCGGAATCGGAACATCTAATTTTGATTAGATTGGTATCATGGCATAAGTCAACAGCAACAACATATGTAACAATGACTGCAATGAAAGTACATGTATTTGTCACAAAAATCAAGTCACTGTGAAATGGGATAATGAAATAGCTGAATCTCATTCTGTTGAAATGGACTTTAAACTGAGCAAATTCGCAATGATAATTCACAGAGGTTACTAATCTTCACTCAAGAATAAACAAAATTTTGATAAAATATCAATAGACCTAACATGGTAATCCTTAACTGGAACGATACAAAAATGAAGTATATTGTACATCTCGTAGTACCATATGCTTGATTAAACGTCATGCCTTACAAAGTTATACTTAAGTTATACACATCGTTTTTCGATATTTACAGTCGATTTGCTTTTCTTGAAAACAAGGTACGGTTGACGGAAGTTTCATGGGGTCTGACTATTGCATTGTCTAAATACGGACAATGGCAACGACAGGTTTCTGTGCAGTTTGTTGTGAATTTTTCCACAACAGAACGTCTCACCCGTCCTCAGAGAGGGCATAGAAAGATTTCCAACCAACTGTGACGATGACGTTGACGCGTAACAGCGTCACGTAAAGATCGGGCTATTCATCCTGCCACCTGTATAATCACCATCACATAACCCTAAAATTGCTATTACAGCAGGCTATCATAATCGTTACATTCCCCCAAAACTGAAGGAAATCACGCGATTTTGGTTTGCGTCGTTTGCCTTTTTTTTTGGCTCAATAACTCCCCTACCAATGCTGCCAGGGTTTGTCAAGATTTTCTCGCAAACAATCACATTTACCCACTTGACTGGTCTCCATCAAGTTTTTTTTTTCGTATCAAACGTCTGTGGGACTACGTGGACGATGTGGTTTAAAGTGTCCAAGCTGGTCTCAATCAACTAAGGGCTGCTTTCTCGGAAGAGTTGAATAATATCCCTCTTAGAAGGATAAACACACTGATGACCTCCATGCATAGGAGAATCAAGGCTGTGACAGATGCGTGAGGGAGGCATGTGAGATAATGAGAATTTTCATTTTTCACTTTTGGGGGGTACCGTCATATAAGTTTCAATAACTCATGAATTATTGGGGAAAATCAAATGAGATTCTGGTTACATCTTTATTAAAGATGATTTTAAATGTCAGATAGGATAACTGGAAAATACATCTGAAATATATAACCTTATTTCACGTAAAAAGTTTACCCTGCATTTCTTTTTCCTTTCAGTATAAACATACATGTATATATATATATATATATATATATATATATATATATATATATATATATATATATATATATATATATATATATATATCACAGCATCCTTGGGTGATGAAAATTTAAGTTTGTTCACAGGAAGTGCCGCTCCCTCTTTCAAGGGGAGATAATAAAGAATTCGTGAAAATATGGGGGCATCTTTTAAAAATCTTCTTCTCAAGAACCACTGGCAAAAAAAGATGAAACTGAAGTGAAAGCTTCATTACATACTTTAGATTCCAGTTTGTTCATATCATAACCCACGGGGGTAGGGCGGGGCCACAAGAGGAGGTCAAAGTTTTACATAGGAATATGCATGAGATGTCTTTAAAAATCTTCTCAAGAACAGCAAAGGCATGATTAGTCATATTTTAATAGAAGTATGCTCTGGTATTGTAGATTCAAGTTTCTTCCAATCATGACCCCTGGGGGTAGGGCGGGGCCAAAACAGTGGGTCAAAGTTTTACATAGGAATATATAGGTGTAATGGTTAAGGGGCATTTGAGCAAAATGCATCGAAGACTTCAAATAGTGGAATGACCTGACAACCCTTGGAATGGACTAGCAAAACCAAAGGATATATAAGGCAAAGCTTTGGGAAAGTCAGGTATTCAGGAGCTAGTTGAAGAAGTTGGATGTTGAATCAGCAATAAAGAAGTTAAGGTATTCCATCCCTAATAGCAACAGATTCAATGAAATTGAATACATAGCAGATGTGTAGGTGTTGAATACTCATTATATTTAGACATAATTCCCATTTTATTTTTATTTAACATGCAAGGGTGGGATGTGTCCTAATTTATGACCTTGAATTTTGGTAAGAGTTATCTCCCTCTGTTTTTAATTTTAAAAAAAATATTAAAACACTTATCTGGTAAAAAAATCTTTTTCAATTGTCATTCTATTTCTGTTTTAATGCATCTTTCCACCTCAGTATTTATTGATATTCTTACTATTTGAATTCTTATTTTTCAAAAATCACTTGTCGCCATAGACTTCAATGCAATTTTTGTTAATTAATTCCTGTTTAGTTAACTACAATTTTGAAACTTTCTCTTTGTAAATTCGTTTCTACTGTAAAATGCTTTAAATCAATATCGAAGTATAATGTATGTGATGGACATTTAAGGATAGATAATTTGGTCCTATTAGGGATGGAAAACCTTAAGCGTAAGAGCAAAATAAAAGTATAAAAGTTACAAACAACTGTGGCAAGTATCCTAAGGAATTGATGTTAAGTTCTGGGTGTAGTTAATCTGAAGAAGATTGAGACAACCGGTTCTTATCTATCAATGGGAACCTAGGGGAGAAACATGGTGCAAGTAGTACCTTACCCAATCCCCATCTCTAGATATGAGAAAATTTAAGCACTGTGTGATATACCCTCAGATAGAGCTGTCTTAATAATCATTCCAATCATTAACTCAAACTGAGTACAAGGAAAACCTGTATAATCCTTGTAAGAACCTGATCACACCATTACATAGGAAATATCTTTGAAATTTTCTTCTCAAGAACAACTAAGCCATTACGAGTCATATCTATACAGAAGCAACCTTAGGTATTGTAGAATCAAGTTTGTTCAAATCATGACACCCAGGGGTTGGGGCACAACAGAGGGTCAAAGTTTTGCATAAGAATATATAGGAATCATCTTGAAAAAAATCTTCTGCTCACGAACAGCAAAGCCATGATTAGTCATATTATTATAGAAGCATCCTCAGGTAGTATAGATTCAAATTTGTTCAAATTTAGGGTGGGGCCACAATGAGAGATCAGAGTTTTACATACGAAAACATAGGGGGAAAATCTTTAAAATGCTTCTGTTTAAGAACAGCAAAGCTATGATAAGTAATAATGATATGGAAGCATCCTGAGGTAGTGCAAATTAAAGTTTGCCCTCTCCCCTACCGTTCAATATTGAACCGATTCCTGCTTCTTCTTAGGTCAATGTGCTCAGGTGAGCGATGTGGCCCATGGGTCTCTTGTTTTTTTTTTTATTTTAATAATCGATATTCGGGCCTTTTGAAGAGTACTAGAGTAATCGGTTACTCGTAGACAACCCTATTATAAAGTAATGACCAAGGATATTGTTTTATTAGATAATTGGTTTGAGATATTTGTTAGAACAGATATCTATTTAGTTACCACTGTTTTAAATGATTAAAAGGCATTTTCAAGTCTGCACATAAGTGATAATTATGATTATTAATGAGTAGGAGTTTTTTCGTGAAAGAGAAAAATTTGGATTTTTGATGAAGCTGTCGACATTACAATATTAACCTTTTGATGCTGTTTAAGTCTTGCTTTGTGTTCTTTAAGCCAGTTTTCGTCGACTTTACATGGTTTCTCTGTTTGAAACTTTAGTCTTGTTAAATCTTCTCTCAAATGAAATAGTTCTTGGCTTGTTTTTTCACTGGTAGATACCTGAAAAATATAAACAATAATGAAATAAAATCTTCTTCACTAATCTATTATTTATAAAGTCTATAATTGGAATTTTAGTACAATTAATATGAATACCCAGCTGCAGTCTAATAAAATAGCTTCCTCCACTTTCTCTAAAGATGTTTCATATTCCTTCAGTTCCTTTAATGACTTTGCCCAGAGGTATAAGTTCTCTCCATCAAGTTGACTTTCCTTTGCTGAAAATTATCCAAATTTGTATTGCGATATGATCTAGTTCATTCCCTATTGTGGTCCATGGGATTTTTTTAGGCTTGTAATTAATTGCTCAATGTTGTTTTTTTTTCGATACTGTAGACAAGGCACTCATAAAACATAACTTAGCTTAAAGGTAAAATAAATTGCTTCTGAATAAATTCTGAGAACAAGTGATTTATTTATATGTAAGCTTGGGATATAAGAAATTATCTCAAGTAATAAAATTGACTTTACCTCTATTTTCATACGTTTCACAAACGACTCCGTAACTACCCTATAAAAGATTATTTTCTTTAAATCTCTTTAGTTAATGTACCAAAATAAAAGCAAGAGGCCCATGACCCACAACGCTCATCTGAATCACTGTCTCTAATGTTCTTAATCAGTAGATTTTTCCCCTATGTATTCCTATATAAAACTTAGTTCTCCTATTGTGATCTCACCCTCTCTCAATGGGCCATAATTTAAAAAGAAAAATAACAAGTCTTCACTACCTGTGGATGCTTCCATATAAATATGATTGATAATATATTTTTAAAGATTTTTTTTTCAAATGCATTTCTATGTAAACATTTGACCTATTATTGTACCCTATAAAACCGCTAGAGAAATGGTTTGAACAAAATTTAGTCTAAACTAACCGAAGATGCTTCTATACAAATATGATTAATCGGGATTTTGCTGTTCTTTAGAAGATCTCTTCTTATACATTCCTATGTAAAACTTTGATCGCCGGTTGTACTTCCTTACTACGGACCCAGGGGGACATGATTTGAACAATTTTGAATCTACGCTACCCAAGAATGATTCCGTATTAATATTACTATTTATTACTTTGCTGTTCTTTAAAAAAGCATACATTCTTATGTAAAACGTTTATCTCCTATTGTGTCCCCATCCCTACCTCTAGGGGTATGATCTGTATATACACTCCCTAGGGATGCTTCCATATACATATTACTAATCATGGTTTTGCTGTTTTTGAATAGACAGGTTTGGTTGAAATTTGCCAAGTGGTTCTTGTTTGTTTCTTTGTTTATTGTTTAATGTTCCTCTTGAGAATTTTTTTCACTCTTATTGAAACACCACCACTTGCGGGTGGAGAGAGCTGCAAATTTTGACCTATACTCGGCACTCAGAACCATTGAGCAGTGAGGGATCTTTTTTGTGCCAGCACCTACTGCGACAGGGGACGTCGGTTTATACGGTCTCATCCGAAGGACCGGTCTCCATGTCCCACAGTGGGATTCGAACCCGCGACGTAAGGATCAACTCCTTACTCCGCGACTCTAGAGCGAACTCTTTAATCACTGCACCACGCGGGCGACCCAAGTGGTTCTGGAGAAGAATTCAAAATTGTAAAAGTTTACAAAGAAAAGACGACAGACGCCGGACAAAATGTGATCAAAAAAGCCCACTTTAGTTATAAAAGCTCCAGTGAGCAAAAAAAAAAAAAACAAAAAACAAAAAAAAACAAAAACAAAAAAAAAACAAAAAAAAAAAAAAAACAGACAAACAAACAAACAAAAAGACTCTTTTAATTCTACATTAAATTAACAGAAATCTCTGATGAGGCTGTAGCTCTACTGGTCTGTACGTATAACAAAGGAAAAGTAGCACTTGGATTTGAAACTTTGCAACATGCAGCAATAAATGGAATTATGTATGTTAATGTTGTCTACTTGTGTGCCAAGTTATATTAAAATCAAACAAAAACTTAGGAGGAGTAACATTTTGAAAGTATTTCACAGAAATTTCTATTTTAAGTAACCATAGCAACATCATTCACTGAAATCAAAAACCGATAAACACTATTAGGTATCGTAGTGAAGTCTTACTGTGTGCCAAATTAGATTGAAATCAGACCAAAACTGTAGGAGGGGTAATGTTTTAAAGGAATTTTACATAAATTTCTATTTTTAGTAACCATGGTCAAACCATTCATCAAAATCAAAAACCAATTTATCAAATTATGTATCTTAGTGTAGTCTACTTGTGTGCTAAGTTATATTAAAATCAGACTAGAACTGTAGGAGGAATTGCGTTTTCAAGGAATTTCACAGATATTTCTATTTTTAGTAACCATGGCAACACTGTTCATCGAAATCAAAAACCGAGGCACTAAATTATGTATCTTAGTATAGTCTACTTTTGTACCAAGTTATATTGAAATCAGACCAAAACTGAACGAGGAGTAGCATTTTGAAAAATTGTTTACGGACAGACAGACAGATGTACGACGAACACCTTACTATCGCATAAGCTCCTCTGGTCTCTGACCAGTAGAGCTAAAAATAGCAACTTGATCATTTATATATTTATTATTTATTTTTTATCATAACAAATGACGCCAAATGAGCCGAGTTTTCAGTTACCCTGCACATGCTGCAACAAATATTACCTCTTCAAGTAGCTTACTGCAGATTCTCCAGTCTATGATATTTAGTCTATGATCAATTTCAGCAATATTCGACTGGTCTTGGTGATTTGCCCTAAGGTGTCTGTATGCCATGCCAAGTTCATAACAAATTCCTTGAACAGAAGCTGAATATTCCTTCTTTTTCAAATATTCAAAAAGAAGCAGTTCGATTTCAAGGAAAAGATTCTTGATGCTCTGCAAAATCAATATATTAGTAGATGCTAATAAATATTTTTATCGGGACGTATAAGATTGAATATACTAGTACAGTAAAATAAAATAAGGCATTTGTTAAAAGAGTACAAATGAAATTGTTAATTTTAATCTTATATTAATTTTATATGACAACTGTAGTTTTAGAAATTAACATTTCATGTTATTGTGATCGGCTTTGGCCGATCACTGTCGATTTCATATGTGGCATCCGTCAGATTTAACAATCTGCACACACATTACGCCCTGCGCAACTCTGTTTACTATGCACTGATAGCTTCATAAAAATCTTTCAGAGCATGTCAAGTACTTACGAGCATTATTTTGATCCATTTACCTTGAGATGCAAACGTTTATTCAGTTACCTGCTGAATAAATTTATTTTTCTTTGTGTACATACGTAAGAATTTCAATCATTTCCCATAAGGACGAAGTTTAATCGTTCATTGGTGTTTCGGAAAGGAATAAAAATATTCAAGTCAAATCGAATTAAGAAAGCACGACGCACATGTTTCCTTTTCTACTTATAGAATACGTTCTATTTCCATTAGTGAACTCTTCAAAATTAGAGGCGCATTTGGTCGTCTGACTGGGACAGCATGGCGTTGCGGATAATACAAAACATGCCAATCTCAATCCAATTATAAATGTTAAATGTATTTGTCATTCCAATTAAAGAATAGAACTAAAAGACATATGTAAGAGAGCGAGAACCCTAAATTTATCATCCATTAATAAAAAAAAAATACGACATTTCCGAGGCATGTGTATTGTATTTAGATGTGCCATACGATAAATAGATGCATACATGTACGATCAACAATAGATATAAATTGATATCGTTGTCATTCCTACTCTTGATGTATATAAAGTCCACAACAATAAAATATTTCATTTGCATTTTTTTAGGATTTGTTCATCTACATTCAACATATTGTTTACATGTTTATGTTACGTTTGTCCCAGAAATCCCGCGAGATTTGTACATTTTCCGACTTTTTCACAAAAGAGCGCATTAAGAAGTATAACTCTTCCAAAGTGGAAATAGAACGTATTGTGGACTTTCAGTATATTATCGTCTATTAAAAAAAATAAATTTCACCGATTTCAGAAAATTTACCGTTATGATGAATTTCTAAAAAAGTGTTCGACACATCACTTAGCCATAACATTACATGAAATCACATTGCCTCCATCTACCAAGAATATTTTAAAATCAAATGACGCTCTGAGGCCTAATTTTCTAGGCATTTGTCCATAACCAAGAATATTTGAAAATCTAGTGACGCTCTGCTCTGTCATTATATATATATATATATATATATATATATATATATATATATATATATATATATATGTGTGTGTGTGTGTGTGTGTGTGTGTGTGTGTGTGTGTGTGTACGTGTACAACCGCAATTCTCACTACACGAGGTTTTACACCTGAAAGTCACTACACTATGTTCTAGCAATGCTAACAAGATAAACAGACCATAACTGTGATTCTATGGGTCTTTGTATATGCAAATGAGGTTCAGAAAGATGAAAATTCAAATAATGAAAAAATGATTTTTCACCTAAAAGTCACTACATTTGGTCACGTGATTTTGCTCAATCACACACCGGAAGTTGACAAGTCACTACATGGCTTTACCAGGACACACACAGGAAACTCAGTACATAAACACTCTTGTAAGATATTATACAAGAAAATCACTACATTCAGTAAATTTTGAATGTGTTTCCCATAAAAACACCAATTTTTCCAAAAAATTGTCGAAAATACATGACAATGTCTGCATGAAATCTGTATGCTATAGAAAAAAAATTGTCAAAGGATATCCGACAAAGTTAAAAGATAAAAAATTGGCTTTCAGCATCTGTATATTGATTAATATAAAGCAAATGAAATGAGAAGAATAAATTAACAGTCATGACAAAGATTTAAAAGTATTAACGGCCAGGCACGTAACATCGTTTTTGAAAGTCGGAGGGGGGGGGGGGGCAGAAAATACAACTTAATACCCGAAAATCTTTGGCAAGCAAGAAAAATAGGTTAACTTCAAAAAGTCGAAAATCCTATTGGTGGGTTGAACTTTTGTGAACCCTCCAAAAAATTTCTTTACAATAAAATGACCGCATTTAAATACATAACAAAAGTGTGTGTAGGGGGGGGGGCTTTTAATGAACACTTTCACAATAAATTAAAAATAAAACTTTTAAGTTTGAAAAAAGGAGGGGCCAAGCTACCCCTCCCCTCTGCTTTTACGTCGCTGACGGCAATGAATTGCCGAGTGTGCGTTGATTCAAGACTTGTTTCGTCAAGAATATTCGTTTTGGGTTTTTTTTTCTGTTGCATTGAGTAAGACAAGTAGAAATTGAAAATCGTTCCCCAATTTTAAATGCAATCATTATGTTTTTTATGATCTTAAAGAGTTTATTTTTTTCTTAACAAGAATTTTATAGGATTACAAATTACTTAACTACTGTTCATGTAATAACATCTCGTTCTTTTTTATGTGGATGACACCACAACCAGCATTCAAAGGAAAATTTACAATAGCAATATAGTATATTCAAAAAAAAAAAGGGGGGGTGGCCTCCGCGTTCTACGGACCTGAAATAAGGGGGAAAATAATGATCCCTCTTACTTATTCTTGCAATTTAATGACTTCAAAAAACTGAAATTACTTTGGTGGGGAAAGTCCACTTCATTGTTTTTCTTATGCATAACATTCTATCATTTCATATTCATCATTTCATTTTCCAATTCAGCATTTAAAAATCCCATTGCTCAGATATGTTGGTCTCTAAAACCATGATTTTTTACGAAATGCAGTTCATACAGCACCCTTTAGTTCTCTTATCCCTTTGCTCAAATGTTTTACAACATTTTGAAAGATCAAACAAAAAAGACGGTTTGTTTGCATGAAACAATTTAATTGCATCAACTATGCAAAAAAAAAAAAAAATACATGAAAAGAATGCTGACATGAAATAAGATACACATGTATAAGCCAAGTGTTAATAGATAATTCTTGCTGTTAATTTTTAAGGTATCCAAAATAAGCTTATTTTCACAGAAGAACAATCAAGGACAATCAGTCAGTATTTGTGCAAAATATAGTGGCATTTTCTTAGTGCATTAAACAACATACAAGTTTCGAAATAAAAAACTCTCTAAGCTTAAAGCTGACAACCAAGCAAGAAATATAAATATCATGCAGTTAATAACTTCCTGTGTTTAAAATGCAACAAAAGGCCCTAGGCTTTGACTATTACCTGAGTATTATGAATTTCTCAGGCTGTGGTCATTTCAAAACCGCCTGGATCTAGAAATCTAGACCCATGTAACAAAAATCGTAAATTTTCACAAGAATTCTATATTTATTATCATATTGATGCAGCTGAACTCCTAGAAGTTCAAAGGTAAAGAGGATAAGGTATACTGGCTAATACTGTATAAAACATTCTAATTTATGACTAACTCTGCCTTTTCATGGGCCTGAAACATGAAGGAGCCTTCAATTAGAGGGCTAAGCATTAATTAAGATTAATTTTAGAGGTCCATGTTTGCTCTGCTACGAATATGGATTATTCTAATGGACTTTTGAGTTTAATTACTATTCATAATCTTCATATTTAATTTTATGCCTGCTAGTTTGCCTGCTAGATGTTCACCAGTGAAGGATTTTTTAAAACTTCAATTTACAGCCCATAGCAAGGGTTTCAAAAGTAGGGGGGACTTCAAAAAATATCTGACAAGCAAAAAAAAAACATTATTTACTGAACCGACCTTATTGCAACAAAGGGGGGGGGGGGGGCAACCAGGATATAAAGGATACTTTACTACAGCAAAATACTATACTCAGAAAAAGTGGGGGGGGGGTGTTCTATGGGCCTGTTGCAGTGTCAATATAAATAGGTAAACCTTGCATGAACAATGGGTCATGAGCGATAAATTTCACAAATTTTGGTTAAAAAATAATTACTTGCTTAAATTATGCAAACAGCTGTCTGCTACATGTCCATGAAAAAAAATTTATAGGATATATTTTTTCAATATTCAGCTCCATCCTGAACCTATATGCAAAAATGAATCTCACAATTTTTTGTACTTAAAGAGCTATGGGCTTATATGATATGCATACCATCAATTGGCCTGCTGGCAAAACTTCTCACAAAAGAGACATGAATGTTTTTTATTATCATAGTTCCCAGACGATGTTTTTGGCCTCTAAAAAACTGGTCTTTCGCTTCTCTGACTGTGGTAAAACTTTGCTGACATCATCATGATCGTCTTCACATTCACTGTCCTTTTCGCTGTCACTTGCAAGTGCAGCTTGTTTCTGCTGCATTTCAGATTTGAGAGGCTTACTGGGCATATCTGAAATTATTATATATGTACATGTATTGACAAAAGGGATTCATCTTTATTTTTATAGAAGAGGCCAATGGGCCACATGGCTCACCCATGTCACAATGGCCCTGCACATTTCCCCCCTACATATTCCTATGTAAAGCTTTGATTGCCTATTATGGCCTCATCTTACCCATTCAAACCTAATGAAGAGGTATGAAAGTTGTTTTTCCATACTTCAATCTGTTAGGCATGATTGAAACACTCTAAGCTCCTTATGGAGATATTTATAATTTATAATGCTGGCTAATGAACATCATGTTAATGTGATGCAAAGGAAAGTAATTTATTTAAAATGAATTTTGTCAATTTATCAGACTGTGATCATGTCTGGAGAAAAAACAACTTATGGAATTAATCCTTAACTGTAATAAAGAAACAGTCATACTTAAAATTCAAGACAGAAATTCTGCCAGAATTTTAATTCACTTTAAACAATCTACATATTGTACAATGTAATACATAACACCTTATACAAGAGGCCCATGGTCCATGACACCTGAGCCCTTTTGCAAGAGAAAAGCAGAAATCAGTTCAGTATTGAAAAGTTTGAGTAATTATACAATTGGTGCCACCCTAGGCCCTGTGGGTGATGATTTGAAGAAACCTGAAACTACTTCTCCCATCCTACCCCTTGATGTTATGATTTGAATAAATTTGAATGTACACTACCTGAAAAATACTCCTGTATTAATATAACAAATCATGGCTTTGTTGTTCTTGAGAAGGCCTTTAAAGACATTTTCTATATAATTCCATGTAAAAGTCTTATGCCCCATTGTGTCCCCACCCTTCTGCCAGGGGACATTACTTGATAAAACTTCAAGCTACTTTACCTGAGTATGCTTCTGTATTAATATGACTTGTCATGGCTTTGCTGTTCTGGAGAATAATTTTTCTGGCCCACTCAGACCTGTTTAACTTTTCTAACTGATGTCAGTATTCTAGAAGTTGTCAGTATTTTGAAGAGTTTGTCAGTAAAAATACAACTCAGCTTATTAGACATTTTTATATGAAGAACCCCTTGTTATACAAATACTAAGCACTAACTACGCATGTCACCGTATGCTGTCTACTGTTGCTTACATATTTTACATTTACCTTAATTATATTGTTTTTAGATCATTTTTGATAAGACCACTTCAATCAACAAGCTTCTTTATCAAACTGATTGGCAAATTTCGGGAACGACTCTGATTTTTTTCCGTCTTTAGGGAAAATTTGTATATTTTCAACGTGAATCTGTAGAGCACATTTTTACTCGAAGATTCATGGGAAATACTAAAAATCTGTACAAGTAAACAACTCTGCCCATTGTTTCTGGAGAAGATTTTTTTAAAGATGCCATCAAATTTACACTTATTTTTGATTATATCCCCTTAAAATAGGGTGATGCCTTTCATGTGAACAAACTTGAATCCCCCACCCAAGAATACTTTGTGGCAAGTTTGGTTGAAATTGACGCAGTGGTTCTTGAGAAGGAGCTGAAAATTTGAAACAACAATGACGCTGGAGATGGACAATGGACAAACTTTGATCAGAAAAGCTTACTTGAGCTTAAGAAAGTTCTGTTTTCAGCTTTATTACCAAGATCATTAATGGTATCTTCATCACAGCTTTTTTCATCGCTTGAAGGATGGTATGATTCATCATCATTACCATCATCATACTCGTCTGCTTCATCACTTAAAAGTGGCCCTGTATCATATCCTATTTAAAATTCTAAAAAAGAAATTATCATTTTAAGACTGTTCATTTTTATGGGGTTAACTTTTAATTTGTAACATCCAAACAACATCATAAATATAGATTACCATTCTCATTGACAACATCATGACTGCTGCTTTCATTTACAAATGATTGGTGTGATTCCTCATCCTGCTCAATTGCAAAAGACTCTGTCAAAACATTCAAATTAGATATTAAATTGGAAAATAACACTTTTCTTAAAAAGTAAGATTCAAATTTATGAATACAATAGGAGTTATCTATTTTTTTTTTGCCTTTACTATGCATGCAAAGAAGAGTCCCATGGGCTACAACATTTCCCATGTAACTTAAAAGAAGCTTTTCTTAATGTTTATAAACGAAGAGTTTTTCTCCTTAATTTTCCCATGCAAAATTGTGAACTCATATTATGACCCTATCCTAACTCTAAAGGGTCTCTGAATCCCCCCCCCCCCCCCTTCTTCCTTCCTCCCTTTGGCCATGATTTGAACAATAAGGAAGCTACAAGAAGGTTTAAAAATACTTTTTGTGGTCCAGTTGTTCTTAAGAGGATTCGTAAAGATTTTAACCAGTACATAAATGTATGTATATATTTCAAGGTAAATCTTTGATCCCCTATTGTGGCCCCATCTACCTCAAAGGCCATTTTTTGAACAATTTAAAATCTTTATTACATCAGGAAGCTTTCACATAAATTTCAGCTCCTGACCAGTAAAGTGAGAATATTATGGGCTTTGAGAAGAAAATACACATTATGGTTTAATTTGACCTCTAAATCTTTTTTCTAGTACCATAATAATGTACGATGCATTTATTAACTTGACAACATACCAATCTTCTCCTGGATTTTGTATGCTGGTGAGCACAGACTGGGCTCACAGTTTCCAGCAAAGTTAACAGCTGTAACTCTAAACTCCCACTCTGAGTCCTAAGGAAGATCGGTGACAGTAAAGAGGGGTCAGTGCAGGGGTACTCATTACACTTACACCACATCTCTGCTCCCTTAAACCTCTCTTCCACAAGGTAGTCTACAAAGATAATCAATATTATCAACTGCTACAGTGTTTATGTGGTTTTGAACAGAGATCAACATTTCCCTTTTTTATTCTACTTTTAAATTAGTACCTGTAATTTTACAGCCACCATTATGTTTAGGTGGTTCCCATTTCAGATAAGTTATAGAATTGTTGACAGCCTCTGGTACACCAGGTGGCAAAACCTTGGCTAAAATAAAAGTTTAAAAATGTGAAAGAAAAAATAATTGAAATTGAAGTACAATATGGTAATTGTTTTTTAAAATGTTATAATTTTTTTCAAATATACTTACTGTATTTGGGCTTGGGAGTTATGGGACCAATCACTAGACTCACTAAAACCTTCAAGATTCTTGGCCCGTATGTGGAAGTTGTATTCCTTGTCCTTTTTTAATCCCTACACTGATGAAAAAATTCTCAAATTCAAGTTTTGCAAACAAAACAAATTTCAAGAATCACTTTTGTAAAACATCTTTTCACAGTTTTCAGCCATAACATACTAATTACATGCAACAAAAGGACATGTAAATCCACTTACTAGTTTATAAGAAAGATACATGTGTCAACAAGTAATCAGTTACTCACCCTCATAAACACACTCATCTACTGGGTAGTCATTAGCCTGCCTCCAGTGGTGGGGTCTTCGTATTCTATGACATATCCTATAATCTTCTTAAAACCATCTGATTCATTTCTTGGTTTGGTCCAAGAGAGAGAGAGGGACAAAATCTTCATCAATGTCGAAAACACTTGGATGTCCAGGAGGATCACAACAAGCTAAGGGAAACATTTAATATTTTCAAAATTTTTCAACCCAGTTCATCATGCAAGCACAAAGACATTCTTTTAATTGTATACACCAATCAATGCTCTAATCTTAACATATCCCTTCGTATTGAAACGAAGTCTTAAAGTTTGGAATTCATTTGATATCTAACAATTCATGTTCAACAGAATTATCACTTCACTTCAGCTTAGCTTCAGGGGAGAGATCAAAATTCATACACATCTACAAAAACTAATCAATCACCTGAAAATGAATTTCTTTGGCTACCACTTAAATATTTAGATGACTTGCAAAATAAAGTGGACAGACAGGACAGTATATATATATAGGTTGAACAAATAGGGATATACTAAAATACTTAACTAAATGTGCATTCTCAACCAAATTTGTGCACAGTGCACTATTTAAAGAATGTCCATACAAAGTAGTCAAAATACCAATCCCAAAGATTTTGAACTTAGCATTTTACAATTTTTTCCTCATAAAAATAGATGAATTCAAAATTTGATGAAAAATATTAATGCTCTCAAACTAGGAATAATTAACATTTTTGGTGGAATGGCTCTGTTCAATGGTACCAGTTATGGAAGAAAAAAAATGCTGCTGTTTGTTCTTTATCACAAAATACATTGTATTTAAAAAAAAGTTCCATTTCTTTTTTATTTTAAACATTTTTTCCTTTATATTCCCACAAAAAACTTTAGTCCACTATGTTGTGCCACTCTACGGGTACCTCTAGGAACCATGATTGGGAAAAAAATTGTACAGCACTTTCTGAGGATAACAGCTAGGACATTAATATCACTAATCAATGTTCTGTTGTGACATACATTCCAATGAAAAACTTCAATCCATCATTGTAGCCCTATCCTACCCCACTGTAGATGCACTTCATTTATTTATTTTTAATTACAAAAAGACAATTGAACAAACTACCATGTTATGACTGCATCTTATTATGACATTTTTTTTATATGTTGATGTAAAAAAAAATACTGATTCCATACTGGTTCCACCTACCCCATTAAGTCAGATTTGAACATGCAAACTTGAATCTATACCATGTCAGGACACTTCCACATAAGTTTCAATGGTTTATAAAAAGGAGATTTTTATATGAATCAAATTTTCACTGTTTCATAGCTATTTCTTCTTGAAAAGTTGGTCACCTTTCATTTAAACAAATTAAAATTGCCAAGTGGTTCTCCAGAAGAAGTAAAATGCTCCTGAGCTTTTGAGCAGATTTTTGTCTTAACCTGTATTTCCACTTTTGCATAATGTTTTAGTTCTTACAATAAATTTGGATTCTACAATACCAATTAAAATATATTCAGTTAAAACTCCATACCAAAAGCATTAAGTGAGGAACTACTGTATGTGTACTTAAAAAAGCAGGCTTCATATTTTAGGGGGCCCTTGGCGCAGACAACAATGCACTAATTCATGAATACCACTAAGAAATCATTTATAAATACAATATACGGTACAGACATTTATAGCGCTAATTCATAATGTCGCCAACACCTCAAAACCCAGTGATTTCGCTAAATTTTGAATACGCCAATTTATGTACACGTACAGTATATTTTGTGGTGGAAGGTTTTTTTTAGAAGAAAATGATCATTTCTTTCTCAATCAAAGTATTTAAAGTATGTTAAGTTTGGATTCCTATTTTTCCATGCAGCGTACACACAGAGTTATTCTGAGCCATGAATTGTTTTATGCTGGTCCTAAATTATATATCAAATAAAATATCATGAATTCTATCATTATATTTGATAAGTATAGCATATATATTGTGAAAATCCAGAAAAAATAGCCGTAATTTAAATTTAATAAGCTTAAAATTAGCACTATTTTGGTAATATCTAAAAATTAACATCACAAACCCCCACTTTTAATTTTCTTTTCTGAATATATAAAATACTTTTAACCATTCTTCTTAAATTCAGTAAAATGTCATTATTATTGCTTGTTAAATTTTTTAATACCAGAAAAATATTTTCTGAGTGCAAAAAGGTCAAATAATTGAACTTGCGAAGTAATTTGAAAATTTTTTGTTGTCACAAATTTTAATACACCTATTCAAGGTGAAATAAGACTGCGTTTGTTCCCATAATTTATTTGAAAAAAATATTGGAGGAAAAACTTTAAAAATTGATTTATGTGTAAGACGTATTTACAGTGCAAAAAAGTCAAACTAAATGCTCTATAGCGCAAAGAGAAGCACAATAACCCCCATTTTTTGTTTTGATTTTTAATTAAGCTAGGTGTGTAGATTCTAAAAATATACTTGATAAAAGATTCTCATTACTTTTGAATTTAAAATTTCAAAATTATGCTTTGTAAAGTAGAAATCTGGTGTCTGATTATAATCAATAACATTGAAACAGAAGCTGATTCCAAACATTGATCGAAAATGAAAATAAACCAATGCAAGGAAACTCACAACATCTGTGTGATAAATGTATACAGACAGGGAAACTCACTACATTTCGGTAAATAATGCACTCTGGCAAGGAAACTCACTACATGTGTGTAAATAATATACTCTGGCAAGGAAACTCACTACATGTGTGTTAATAATGTACTCTGGCATGGAAACTCACTACATGTGTGTAAATAATGTACTCTGGCAAGGAAACTAACTACATGTGTGCAAATATTGTACTCTGGCAAGGAAACTCACTACATGTGTGTGATAATTTTAAACAGACAAGGAAACTCACTACGTGTGTGTAAATAATATACTCTGGCAAGGAAACTCACTACATATGTGTAAATAATGTACTCTGGCAAGGAAACTCACTACATGAGTGTAAATAATTTACCCTGGCAATGAAACTCACTACATGTGTGCAAATAATGCACTTTGGCAAGGAAATTCACTACATCTGTGTAAATAATGTACTCTGGCAAGGAAACTCACTACATGTGTGTGATCATTTTAAACAGACAAGGAAACTCACTACATGTGTGTAAATAATATACTCTGGCAAGGAAACTCACTACATATGTGTAAATAATGTACTCTGGCAAGGAAACTCACTACATGCAGTCTTCGACAAATTCCAGGAGTCTGAAGCCTGGGACCTGGTAAAATTGGAAGCGGGCATGTGGAAATTGCATACTTACAAGCCCGAAGGGCATGTAAATTCTGAGGCCTAAGCCTCCATATTATCAACTTAAATAATACCAATAACATTAAATGTACTTAAAAGTCTGATTTTTCATCTAAAGTGGAGCACCAAATAAAATATTAACGATAGTTTATTCTACCGCAATTTCCAAAGAACTCTTTTGCAAAGGAGACACAAAAAGTATACGCATTGAAAACAATACGTGACTTCCAAGAAACTCTTTTGCAAAGGAGACACAAAAAGTATACAGGTAGAAAACAATATTAATGGCGAGACAATAGATCTATAGAAATGGATTTCAGATCATTTCCTTGGCATGAAAAGGCAGATAAGATTAAAATTACTTGATAAAATTCTGGGCATGTAAATATTTGTTCGGGCTAGCATAATAAGTGGTTAAACCTGCCCGAAGGGCATGTCCTGAAAAAAAGATTTGGTGAAGACTGTACATGTGTGTGTAAATAATATACTCTGGGAAGGAAAATCACTACATGTGCAATTACTGTCCTCTGACACGGAAATTCACTACATCTGCATGATAAATTTTAAAGTTAAAGATAGAAACTCAAAACGTTGACACAAATACTGAGGTATGTGACTAATGCAGAGATTATTAGATACTGTACATGGCATGAAAAAAATTGCTGGCTTCACATCAATGTTGCTATGGAATGAAGGAATCAAAATAATCATCCCAAATTAAACATACATGTATTAGACCATTAGAGAGAATCTAGGTATGTCACTCCAGTTTGTTTACTTTGTACCCCACTGGTTTTTCTGAGTTGAAATCATGTTTTTATTTCAAAATGAAATGCCATTTCACATTCTTTGGACATATAATTCAGTCGGTCTTTAATTTGATGAAGCTTTTAAATTGGATTTGCATCTCATAAGAATACTACAATTTATTCTCAAATACAAATCAATCAGTGTTTTGGAAAATCCTTAACTAGAAAAGCAAAAGGCCACTCAATCTCATTCATAACAGTATGTCACTTCTTTTCATATCCATGCTCAATACATTTCACTCTGATTCTTATTCTTCATAATTTCAATACTTTGCTGATGCTTTATTGTGTTAGCTATGTATACCAGTTCTTCTTACTTTTATACTAATTCCAGTTCTTAACTACTGTAACATTATTTTTAAATTTGCAAATTAAATCTCTGTTACAAATATCAATTTAAATATTTTTGTTGTAGACAACCAAGAATTCAAGTAATGTGAGAAAAACAAAATGCCAGTAATATGTCTTCAATTATGCGATAAAAATGACTCTGGCCATCCGAACCGAGCAGCATCCAATCTTATAATTATGTGTTGATACTTAAGTGTTGTCAAATCGGACAATTTTTAGTAACTTTTCCAATCAAGTAAACGGTTACACTGATGGATTTTTTTTAGATAATATATGTAACGTCATTACAATTTCCATGTTTAACATTTACATACTGGCCAATATCAAATGCAAATGCACTGTAGATGCATTTCATTTATTTATTTTTAATTACAAAAAGACAAAATAAAGCTTCTTAATGAATTTGTTCTTGAATATCCTGTAATAGTTGGCAATTTTTGCGGATGTCCTAAATATAATGTTACTTTAGTTTCGTTTCTGTGTATGTTAATTTCATTTTACATATTTTACACTTTTCAGATTTAAATTCTTTTAAAACATTTCGGAATCTATGCTTTTGATGGCTGTGGAGGCATCTTGTTTAAAATTAATCCTGTACTGCGGACTAGCACAGTATAAGTGAGTTAATTATAATTAACCCAGGTTTTCTACATTGTATACCGCTTGGCAATCAAAGCCATCAATTAGATAAACTGTGAAAACAGTGTT